TGCAGGACCAGAAGTTGGACTTTGATGATCCTTGTGGGTCCCCTCCAGCTCAGGATATTCTGTGATTCTGCTTAAGAGGAAGGGAATATCTTAGCACATTTAGCCCTTTCCAACCACACCAGGTCAAAGCAAATCACACACGAGAATGTCACTAACAGGGACAACATTTCAGCGTGTGTTGGCATCCCCAGTGAAGGGAAGGCTGAGGTCTGYCCTGGCACCTGCCTGTGTTAGATGYAGCCCTCACTGGCATTGCTGAAATTATACAGATTTAGGACTGGAAAGCGCAGAATCAGAGTCTGGCCTTCAAAACCTGGTGTTGCAACCACATTGGGAAAGGGGGACCTGCAATCCACGGCTGGCAGCCAGCTGGAGCAAATCCTGACACTGTAGTGCAGGGAAAGCTGGGACTCTCCTGTTCCTGTTGGTACCTGACTGCTTTACTGCTCTGATAATGCTCTCCAGTTAAAACCCTCGAGTCCTGCTCGCATTTCACAGTGCTTCCAGAACTGGCAGTGAATTTCCCTTCTATCTGCACAGATACAGGCTGGGATAGTCCTTTATTCTCCCCCAGCCCTCACTTCCAATGTCACCAGTTTGTGAGGTTTCAGTCTGATTTAGTTTGCAGATGAGTGTGCTGGATCAGACACAGCCTGCCATGCCCTGATGGATTCATATTCCCCATGAGGTCGTGTGGGACACCTTGTGTTCCCAGCTGGCAAGTCACAGAGATGTTGTGGCCACCAAGAGGGATGATCCTTCTCCTTTAGGTACAGCCTGAATTTTTTAAGCCTCTGGTCTCCTCCCCCGGGCTTTTGCAATGGGAGGGGACAGCCGGGAAGCCCTGCAGGCTGAGGTGTATCTGGAGTGGATTAGGAGAGGTTGCTACACCCTGCGTGTCAGTGTTATTAAGATAATACTGCCTGTCCCTACAGAGGCCCTCTGGGCTGTTTCTAGACATTCAGGTCAATAAATGATGTAAATTAAGCCTCTCAGAGAGGGTTATAGCCCTCTGCACGTAGGAGCAACAGCACAGACGGTACCTTCACACTGCTCCAGGATCTCCTCAGCCGTGGTGTCGTAATGAGCCAGGGGGTTGCTCGGATTTCGGTACTGTTTATTCCAACAGAGAACAGCGGGAGTTACCGTGTGAAGAGTAGGTCAAATACCAAACCAGCAATAGCTCCTGACAGAGCTGTGCCCAGAGCATGCAGCTGCCCCCTCCTCTCGCTGCCGAGGCGGGGACTGCCACCCTGCCACAACAGGTCACAGGTATTCCTCCTGCTTGTCCCTTTGGGACAGATTCCCAAGCACACTTGGAGTTTTTCCACACTGGAAGGTTAAATGTGCCCACAAACGCTCACTGTCCAGCACTTGGTGCCCATGAGGTGTGGGGATGGTTCAGAGGCTGGGAACTGTGGGCTGGAGAAGCTTCCTGATCATCAGCTCCCATACAAAGAGGGATTTTGCATCTCTGATATTTGTGCACCCCACGTTCACACCCATGGACCAGGCTGCTTGTGAAAAGCTTATTCAGTCTCTGAGCTCTTATATTCTTAGAAGGAAAGAGCTTCTCTGACTTTCCTGCACTCCAGGGGCTCCCTACATGGGGGTCAGACCGAGTGCCCTCCTGTCCTTCCTCCTGCAGGAACCTCTGGCGTGAGTCACCAGGCTTTGCCCTTTACAGCATGAGGTTTATTTTTGAGGTAGAACAGAGGCTGCTAGCTAGGCTTAAAAAGTGGGGGCTTTTTCAGGTCAAAGTTAAATCTGAAGCAATTTGAGGAGTCTTTGAATTGTGCAAGAAAACCCAGCCTCGCCCACACTGAGGATTTGGCAGAAGAGATGCAGGTTTGGAAGTGTCCCCTTAATTTGTTTCTGCCCCCTGTGCTTTGCAGAGGGGTGATTAAGTTTCAAATGCCATAAAACACTGACTARATCTKCCTCTGGTGCCAGTTTGAATGAAGSCCCCAAACACAGGCACACTTGGAGAACATCCTATAAACTCCCTTTGGAAAGAGCTGGTGGAGGGACGGTGTTTACCTGGTCCAGGATGTGAGAGTTTGGGATTTCACTTTTCAGCTTCCAGGCAACACGAATGTTGGACTCGGGGGCATCAAAGCGGGTGCATGGGGTCCTCACAATTTCAACACCCAGTGCTTTCAGAATATCGACCTTTGGGAGGGAAAAGAGGAGATTCAACACAACTGAGCCCACGTAGGGATGGTAACCCAAACCTGCGGGCTCAGGGCAGCGCCAGATGCCAGAGGAGCTTTGCACTCGGGACACATTTATCATTTGGAGATACAATGTCCAATTCTGGGCTGTGCTATCTCTGACATGCTCCTGGCACCCAGGGCCTCCTGCCTGAGCCTGGCACAGGGATTTAAGCCTGGCCTCGTGCCCTGTCCTACTTGGAGGGCAGGCTGGGGACAGGGTGGAGGGAGGTGACACTGTGCTGTTCCTTGCTGCCAGGGGAAAAAGGCAGAGGGGGCTGGACAAGGAGCAGTGTCTCTTTTGTGCTGGGGTCTGAGTTCCAATGTGACAAGGGGAGATCAAAAAGCTGGTTTTGCCCTAAGTCCCTTCTCTTCTCTCATCAAGCTCAAAGAAGAAGCAAATCAGCCCTTGGGTGTCTCCTCTGGGAGGTGTGGCTGTCATGGGGAGAGGGGGAGTGTCAGGGCACCTGGAGATGAACCCCATGGCAGCTGGAGGTGGCATCTGATCCAGACCGAGCTTAAGTGAGATTTAGGTTGAAATGAGGGTGACACTTTAGAGAAGGGCTCATTCCTGAGCCAGGTTAGAGTCCAGGTGTGGCTTCACTGGTATGAATTCAGCTGAGCAGTCTGGAGGGCTCTTGGCTCACCAAGGAAGGATTTCTGCCATCTCCAGGATGGAGGGTTTACCTGATCATCAGCTCTCAGGCAAGTGAATTGACTTCCAGCACCTTGAGAAAGCAGCTCAGGCTATTCTAAGTGTCTCCAGGTTAAATAAAACCATAAATACACAGTGAGGCCAAGTGATCTGTCAGATGTCAGAGGGGAAGTGAGCAGGGCTGGCAGGAGAGTCCTGGCACCTGCCTGCCTCTCCTTCTGTCCCTCCAGCCCTTGCCTCACAGGCAGCAGCTCCTTCTCCATTTCTCTGCAGCCACACACTGTGTTTGGCTGTCCTGTCACCCCATCTGCACTTCTGACACCAGACAGTCACCATCACAGCCATCACAGGCTGCTTTTCTCCCTTCAAGAGGCAACTTTCTGAGCAGCAGCTGTGGCAGTGTGTGTACAAGGCTCGATGGCCTTTAAAGGAGAGGGCTCCAGGAAGGGAGAGGCAGAGGGAGAGAGGGAAGGAGATGTCCCTTGGCTGTGGGGTGATACCATTCAGAGCTCTGACCTTCTCCATGCTCATTTTCTCTGGCAGGACGATGATGCAGCGATAACCCTTCAGTGCAGCCACCAGAGCCAGCCCGATCCCTGCGTGATGGGGAGCAAAGGGAATTGGTTGAAAGCAGTTTTTGGCAGAAGTGACTGACATGCATCACTTTCTGCATCCCTCTCTCCTGAAAGCAACCATGGAATGTTCACTGAGAAACTACAGGTGAAGGCATCCTCCACGAGCTTCCTGGGATATGCTGGGAGCTCCAGGAAGTGTGGGAGGCTGTGCTAACAGGAAAGTGGAGCTGCAGCATCCCCTCTTGCTCACAGGAGTCCACCAGCGTGGCACAGAGAGAATGGCAGGGCTGGGGAGAGCTTTTCTCTCCTCCACCGAGGCACAGGGCTCTTCCTGTGCTCTTGGAAACACAGGAGAGAGGTGATTTTACTTCAGGAGCGCCTTTCCCTGCCCCTCAAGCACTGTCTGTTGTGGGGGGACGGACACACAGGACGCTGCACATGTCACCCGTGGCCAGAAGGTGAAGGGCACCACTGCTCCGGTTTCACTGGGGTGATGGATGGAGCCAGCTGCTCCCAGCTATGGCAGGAAGGTGAGGCTGGAGCTGCCTGTCCCTGCCTGGGGCTGGAGGGAGCCTGGTGCCATCCCAGCTGCCCTGGGCACAGGGAACAGCGTGATCCACCTGGGGAACAGCTCTGGGGGAGCACAGATCCCCTTACTCCATGTCTGGGGGTGGCTGGGGCAAGAGGGGGTTGGTTCTGGGGCTGCCTGAGACAATGGGCCAGTGAGGAGCACAATTCCTAGAGATGAACCCTGTTCTGCATGGGTGGTGAGGGGGAGGCAGGGAGCACAGCGAGGAACACGGCCTCAACTCCATCCAGAGCACCTTGAGGTGCCTTTCTGTAGGAAATCACTCTGTGCAAACACAGGTTGTTGTTTTGGGGCACAGAGCAGCAAAGGAACGTTGGAATTTGCACCAAGGGTCCTGTGGAGGCTGCAAAATAGGGGGGGAGTCTCCTGTGTTGTGCCCCCTCATCTTGTACCCCACCATATGGGACAGTGATGAGGAAACAAAATCCCATGATTTCTCTTCCAGCCCATCAGAGAAATTGTCTCTGGGGATCTCTGGGAATTCAAAAGCTCCTGATACTGCCTGCCTTGCCAAAAGGGGACCTTCCAGGCACGCCTGTGAAGGTGTGGGACCCTTTCAGACCCCCGGGAATTTCAGCAATGAGGCACCTCAGCATCCCCGGATACCCTTGGCCACCAGGAGAGAAGCTGAGGGGAGGATGCAGCCAGAACCGATTTTGTAACTACAAATACAAGAGCTCCTCAAATCCCTGCTCCTCAGAAATGCATCCCTGCCTTCCCACCTGTGTTCCCTGAAGTGGGTTCAATCAGGGTGTCTCCTGGTTTGATAATCCCGGCTCTCTCCGCATCCTCCACCATCCTGAGGCTGATGCGATCTTTGATGCTGCCCCCGGCRTTGAAGTACTCACATTTTGCCACTGGAAAGGAAAGAAAAAGGGGTACTCCATCAGGCACCAGCTCCTGGCTCCCCCAGGCCTCACTGCAGTTTTAGGACACCTATTCCTCTTCTGTAGAATGGCTCCTTTTCTCAGGGGAGTGCAACCACCATTTGCTTTTCTGGGATTATCCATCAGCATAACCTGTGCAGAGTCCTTTCTCCCACATTTCCTCCATCCTGGATGGGTTTAAAATCAACTTGGTCAGCCCAGGATGGGTTTAAAATCAACTGGACATACTCGTTGCAAGGTGGGAGGTCTGACACTGGCACAACACTCTTTGCTGCCCTGCTGTGAGGACCTTTCTGTGGGCAGGGCACTCTCAGGATCTGCAGCAAGGTCTCCCTGTCTGCCCTGGGGCACTGCAATTTTTAACAGATATCTAAAAAGGCCAACCCTTTTGCAGAGGTGATCTGTAGTGCTGACTGGAGAAGCATAAAGAAACACAAATAACAGAAAGAGCAATCTCAAGTGTCAGACAAAATTACAGTTCTTTTCACTGAGCTACAAAAAAAAAAAAAACTGAGTAACTTTCTAAAGTGTGTTCAGATTACAAGGCACATCTCGGTCCTACTCAAGGCCTTCACACCACAGGATCCTTCTTGCCAAGGCTTTGATGAACATCTGCAACTGAACTGAGCTCTCTTTTATGGAAAACAGGGAGAAACAGAGACTTCCAGGGGTTATTCACTTCACCTTCGCAGAGGCAGCTACCTGAGGCTGAGAAACCAGCCCAATACCCGGGCAGCCTGAGCGGGAAAAGAAATCTTGTGCTCATTGTTACATTTTATAATGCGAAATGCCACAACTTCAGCTGCACAGGGATCCTCAGAGACACAGAAAATCCCAGGCAATCCCATCCAGCTGTAACTGCTTCCTTGAGGCAACTGTGCTGCAGGCATTCCTGTGTTTGATGGGGAAGAGGATCTGTGCTGACACATCTCTGTGGCAGCTGCTCTGCCTGTTCTGCTCTCCTTCCCCTCCTGTGCCAGGGGAGGGAAACACCATCCCAAAAAATGGGATCAGCCCGTCCTCCCCGGCACCTAAAGCGCCTGCCCCAGCCCGACATCCTCCAAGACACAGGCTGCTCCAAAAGTGGACCAGGTACTGCACACCTGACCTCCCACCTCCACCACCTCCCTTCCACACTTTGGGGTCTCATTCTGGGCAGTGCAATGTAGAGGTTGCAGGGTTGGTGACCCAAAGATCCCAAATCCTGAGCAGGGATGTGGTGGGAGAGCACAGCAGGCTCCACCAGTGCTCTGTGGAGGATTCCCAGGTACCAGACAGGTTCTGCTGTGCCATTCCATCCAGGATGAGCGCTCAGAAAGTCTCTCCTTACTCAGCTGTGTGACACTCGTGGCACTTTCTGCCTCTGATAATATTTCTGCCCAATTTGGATGAAATTAATTGCTAGGGTTAGAAKTWWWRGRAARG